AATAAAAATAAAAGACCCAGTGTAAGTTGTCGAAATATCATACCATTACAGATTGTCGAAAGGGTGTTTTTCTACCTGTTTAATTGGTGAAGTTGTTCTATCTTGGCACTAATGTTTTAAACAATGCAGTATCTCAAGATTATGTTAACGTAATGGCGTCATTTGAACATACAGTTTCTCGTAACCTGCAATGTCCAATTTGTTTAGACCTTCTTAGTGATCCTAAACAGTTGTCATGCACACATACGTTCTGTAAAAAATGTCTTAGTGATATTCTAGCATGTTCATCAAAAATCGAAGCAAACACGTTACTATGTCCAATATGTCGTGGCACAACGCATGTAAGGGATGGCAATATTGTGAATCTAAATACAAACGTTCCTCTTATGTCCCTTGTTGATGACGTCAGGAACAGTCAACAGCTCTGTGAAATGTGCGATACGCAATCAAGAGCTGTACACTTCTGCTGCGACTGCGGTAAGAATATGTGTAGCGCATGTCTTGAGCTGCACGGCAAATGGCCACCTCATCTCAAACACAAAGTAGTGGGTGTCGGAGACATCAGAGAGGGCAAGGTGGTCCTAGAAAAGAAGGTCTACTGTCAAGAAGAAGTACACAAATCAGATGGCGAAAAATATGTCTGTAAAGATGTATGCACTACTTGTAAGAAGCTTATCTGTATGAGATGCATATTCTACCACGATAAGAAAGGCCACACTGTTCAAGATGCGGGGGAATACAATACTTCCTTCAAGAAGGACAACGAATCCCTACAAGCCCGGGGTAAGACAAAAGCTACAACCGTCAAGAATCACATGACATGTGTGGATAATCAGTTGAAGCGTGTCAATGATCACATCGATGGAGAAAAAGCTAAAATCAACAAGACATGCGAAGAGGCTATCAACAAAATAAAAGAGAGGAATGTGACCATCAACAAGCAATTAGATACTCAGAAAGAGAAATTATGCCAGAGTTTGAAGAAGATGAAAGTTGCTGATGAGAGATTAGTTACGAGTATTGAGAGTGCGAGTGAATTGGCGAGTAATAGTTTGAAAGCCCCACTAGAAGGGGACATTGTTGCTATTCGTTATTCACTGTCTGGTGACCTGAAGAATGTACTAGATCAAGATGATCCCAAGAAGAAGCTTGCTAGTGATGTAGCTGACCGTGCAGAGGAACTGACGTTTACACCAAGCAGCCACCCTGATCAATTATCCATGGGTAAACTCCGGTTCTTAAAATGCGAGTCGAAATGCAATGTCGCACTCTCAAAGAAAGACAGTATGGATGCAATAGCTGCTACAAAAAATAGTAGGATGGCAGTTGGATGTCACAATGGAGGAATCGAAATCTTCTCTGCTGATGGTCAGCTGCAGAAGACAGTCCTCAAGGATATCAACATCCGTGGGATAGGATTCCTGTCTGATAGTCGGTGTGTTGTACTTAATTCAGTTAACAACATGTCACTGTACACATCAGAATATGAGACGCTGGATGTGACATTCAACACTCTAGATGACAGTGAAGGTGGGTTTGGTACACTCACTGTAGACAGCAATGATATCATCTATGTCAGCTACAGGAAAGCCAAGAAGATCCAGGTATTCTCACCAGCAGGTGGGAAGGCGATCAGGGAGATACCTTGCGATGGATATGAACCTACGCAAATCACTAGTTATGGTGATTCATTGATCGTTAAACAGTATAGCAATGCGATAGCACGTATTGATAAAAAGGGTGATGAAATGCATGACGTAATCTGTTTGAGTGGTCATATGCCCTACGCTAGTGTGACTAAAGGTAATTCAGTCTTGATTGCCTCTGTTAGACACGAAGAAGGGCTGCTCAATATCGATGAGTACACCAGCGAACTGAAGCACGTTAAGACCCTCATCTCTGATCACAAGATTGAGAAACCTGAGAAACGTTACTGGTACTACCCCAGATAACAATACGGCGTTGGGCCAACGTCGGCCACGGTCGGCAGGGTCGCAGTCGGCAAGCCAACGTTGGCTAATCGTTGGGCCATCGTCGCCATTTTTTACTGATAAATGGTGGCTATTGGTTGGCTCATTCGACGTTGGGCCAATGTTGGCTGAACGTTGGTCCATTGTCGCCATTTTCACTGATAAATGGTGGCTATTGGTTGGCTATTCGACATTGGGCCAATGTTGGGTGAACGTTGGTCCATTGTCGCCATTTTCACTGATAAATGGTGGCTATTGGTTGGCTATTCGACGTTGGGCCAATGTTGGCTGAACGTTGGTCCATTGTCGCCATTTTCACTGATAAATGGTGGCTATTGGTTGGCTATTCGACGTTGGTCCAATGTTGGCTGAACGTTGGTCCATTGTCGCCATTTTCACTGATAAAGGGTGGCTTTTGGTTGGCTATTCGACGTTGGGCTATTGTTGGTTTAAGGTTGGTCCATTGTCGCCATTTTCACTGATAAATGGTGGCTTTGGGTTGGCTATTCGACGTTGGGCCAATGTTGGCTAAATGTTGGTCCATCGTCTCAATTATCACTGATATATATTGGCTATTGGTTGGCTATTCGACGTTGGGCTAACGTTGGCTCATTGTCGCCATTTTCACTGATAAACGTTGGCTTTTGGTTGGCTATTCGACGTTGGGCCAATGTTGGCTGAACGGTGGTCCATTGTCACCATTTTTCCTGATAAATGGTGGCTATTAGTTGGCTATTCGACGTTGGGCCAATGTTGGGTGAACGTTGGTCCATTGTCGCCATTTTCACTGATAAATGGTGGCTATTGGTTGGCTATTCGACGTTGGGCCAATGTTGGCTGAACGTTGGTCCATTGTCGCCATTTTCACTGATAAATGGTGGCTATTGGTTGGCTATTCGACGTTAAGCCAATGTTGGCTGAACGTTGGTCTATTGTCGCCATTTTCACTGATAAATGGTGGCTTTTGGTTGGCTATTCGACGTTGGGCTATTGTTGGTTCAATGTTGGTCCATTGTCGCCATTTTCACTGATAAATGGTGGCTTTGGGTTGGCTATTCGACGTTGGGCCAATGTTTCATGCTAAATGTTGGTCCATCGTCTCAATTATCACTGATAAATGTTGGCTATTGGTTGGCTATTCGACGTTGGGCCAATGTTGGTTGAATGTTGGTCTATAATTGTCTCATTTATTACTGATAAATGTTGGCTTTTGGTTGGCTATTCGACGTCGGGCTAACGTTGGCTCATTGTCGCCATTTTCACTGATAAATGGTGGCTATTAGTTGGCTATTCGACGTTAGGCCAATGTTGGCTGAAAGTTGGACCATCGTCTCAATTTTAACTTATAAATGTTGGCTATTGGTTGGCTATTCGGCGTTGGGCCAATGTTGGCTTCATGTTGGTCCATCGTCTCAATTTTTTTTAAAATGGTGGCTTTGGGTTGGCTATTCGACGTTGGGCTAACGTCGGCTGAACGTTGGTCCATAGTCTCAATTTTAAATTTTAAATGTTGGCTTTTGGCTGGCCATTCGATGTTGGGCCAATGTTGGCTGAACGTTGGTCCATCGTCTCAATTATTACTGATAAATTGTGGCTGTTAATTGGCTATTCGACGTTTGGCTATTAACGTTGGCTCAATGTTGGTCCATCGTTTCAAATTTTACTGAGAAATGGTGGATAAGTTGGCTAATATACGCGACGTTGGGCCAACCTTGGCTTAACGTTGGTTTATATCGTGCATGTATATATTGGTTGGCTATATGACGTTGGGCCAACGTAGCAAATACGACCTAGTACCGCTTCATCCGGGTAAAAAAATTGCATGCGTGCGCATGCCCATGTGCTCATGCAATTGCAACGTACGTCAGCCATATCCTGTTCATTTGTCTGGATCAGTTGCCGGGGAGTACCAACACTTCATGGTAAATGAATGATTTTCTTTCTCTTTCAACGTTATTTTTGTGAGCATGTCGCGTGAAACTGATAAATTGTATAGTGTGAGAACTCCCCGTCACAAAGCGAGGGAAATAGCATGAGAAATTGTTAAAGTAATCATTGATAATTCCCTGTCCAAGTGAAAGTGAGTATGAGTGTACCGCTCGGCGTACGCTTAGCAAGCGCACTCGCTGCGTGCAATTGAAGTGTGAGTGATGGCTATATATGAAGGCTATGATGGGGGCCGAAGTGTCGGCATCAGATGCATCGAGTGTTTGCCGTGATAAATGTTAATATGTTCCTGACTTAGAGTTAGCTAGGTGATGTATTGATACATCATGTTGCAGCGTCCGTGACAGTGATGATGTTCATCCCAATATGCAATATCGACCATGAATCAAATGATTGTGAATCTGTTGGTGTTACAAGTGTTGAAGGTGCTGATGCATTGTTGGAAAGACCAATTGAATCAAATAGAGCTAAATGGGAAGACGCATCATTTTTTTATGCATATCTAAATGATATTATAGTCTTTGATACTTTCAGATTTAGAAGTAGGTCTATACTATACTCTGTAGTAGCTCAATATATGATGATGATGATTCAGTTCGAAAAGGAATAAATTACGAGATTGGGCTGTGAATTAAGATATCCCGCTAGTTCATGTTTCTAGCCTCCTGAAATCTTACAAGGGAGTGTGCCAAGTCTGCCAAAATATGCAAGAACTTTGTATCAACACATTTAGTGGATTGTGAGTGTCATGTGAAAGAGGTAGCTGGTGGGAATTACCCTCATTTTGGCATTTGCAATCATTTAAAGTCGCAATTGGCCAAGAACCTCAATTTGATCAAAAAGTAAATAGGAAAAACTATTGGGGGCGGGGGTAACACTGATCGATCCCATAATTTTCATTCATAATTTTCATTCACAAATTTGATTATTGCTGCATTTTTATTCTCATTTTTAAATTAGTTTTTATTGTTTATGCACATGTATATTAAATTGCTATAATTTTAACTGAAGGTAAATATTCTAATTATTTATTTTTAAAATTCTGACGTTCTTTATTAATACATTCAATTCTATAATAGCTCTTCCAAATCCCAATACTTTTTTTCTCCCATAATCCCTACAATTCTGAAATTTAAATATTAAATCCTGCATTTCATATCGTCAACTTCACAACAAATTCCAGATTCCTCTACCCGTTCAGATCCAGCTACCCCTACCTCGATCATCCAGAACAGCATCAACAGCACCAAGGACCCCTTCGACATCGACCCCATCAACCTCCAGAACACTGTCGACCCCAACGACCCCATTGACCTCAACAATCAGAAATATGGGTAAGTCATTTGGCATTTTATTCATTTTGTATTTAGTTATACATGTAGACAGGATAGCACTTCTTAGTATTCGTTATAGTTGTGCCCTCCACACAAAGTACAAATGTACTGGATTAATGTACGTTTGTGTAGGACATAGCTGCTAACGGATGCTAGTATCTTTTTCCTGATTATATTGAGAAACTGCATTGTGATCACTTACAAAACTATTCAACAACAACAAATCATGAAATACTGCTTATAGCAGTATTTTTTTTGGAAACAATTCTGAATGCAGGGTGCCACAAAAAACAAAACACAGTCAATTGATTTGTTTCTTGTATAAGGAACTAACGATATAGCTTTGTGTTTTTGTTTCTACTTTGAAGCCCCTCGAGCTCTCTCAAGTATTGGGAGCTTACATAAATACAAAAAAAAGTATTGGGAGCTTCACATTTCACTTCAATGTTATAATGATGTTAAAGAAAATGCCACTCTTCTTCAAACATTTTGTGTTGTATGCAGAAAACGCAAATTTTGTATTCTTTCATCCATATTCTACTTCAAACACATTTGTTAGGGCAATATTCTATTTGCAGAAGTGTCCGGGTGTTAATGACATCCTCTTTTACATCATACCATTTAAGTGAGATTGTGCCATCTATTCTTTGGCTAATTTTGGGATCCAACACTTAAGAGGGGCTTTAAACTGTTATCAATCAAGCATCTCAACACTGAGCAAACAGATACTATAAATTGGTTCTTTCTATTGAAGAATATTACTGCCATTTTACCTCAAATGTATATTTCCTTTGTTAAGAAGAGTGTTTGATGCTATTCTAATTAAACAAGACAAAAATAAAAGAAATCCATTCCTTTCTAATTTCCATACGTCTGGGTCATTCGCTCTAAAGTTTGAACGAAGTTATTTTCATGACAAAGTACTTCTATCCATGAAATTTCATGAAAACTAGGGAGGATGTGGCACTCAGGACTACTTCCCTTGAATGCCGTACTATTTGATTAATATCCGTACTATTTCAAGGTGATGTTTCCATGATCTGCTTTTAAATCTTGTTTGGTTTCTTTCTTCTTCTTTTTTTTGCCGCAGATGTCGAAGTTGTACCACCACAAGCTAGACAAGATTTTGATTCCGACTAACCCATTCTTTAAAGGTCCATTGCCTTAGGAAATTAAAACTTTTATGTCTTGTATCAAGACCCTTTTAAAACAACATTTATCATAAATAAATGCCTCCTTATATTTATTACAATTTTTTGAAAACCTCTCCAAGTTGCTCGTCTAATGGTGGAACCCGCCCCTTTCAATTCTCAGAGTCCCTCGGAATGATTGACCAAAGGATTGGTGATGTTATATCAAGAACGATCTCCGCTTAGGCAAGCTACGGTGCTTGCTAGCCAGCTCTGCAGGCATTATGTTTTGTACACAAACATAAACAATAACTTTTGTTATTAAATAGTGTGCTATGCATCTTAACTTGTTATTTATTGTGGTGAAACTTCACTAATGGCCCAATTTTAAAAAGAGAGCTATACCATGAGTCGAAGAAGGTCGTAATTGATTTGAATGCCTGTATAACGTGTCAACTAAATGCATGCTATAAAGAATTTCAAAGGTAAGAAAAAAATGTTTCATATATCTAAGTGACTGAATGTTTTTCGTACTACCTTCTTCTCAATTTAAAGAAATATTGAAAGTGGTATATCAGAGTGAAGAAACTTGTGTTTTTCCCTTTACAAGCTCTGCTCTTTCTTACTTCACTTTCAAATTTCCTCTCTTGTTATATAAACATTTAGCGATTGCTTTACTTCACACATTCAAGCAATGTATACTATCCCTCCTAAAAAAAACAGTTTGTAGATGTGTTAACAGTAGATATGGCGACAAAATGTATCAGCATCTCTGAAATGCCTCAAAAATGTTGGCAATTTCTCTGAATTTTATTTTTTATTTTTATGGAACATTGTTTACATTAATTGCCTAGTTCTTGGTATGCAAATGGTGGACAGTTTATTAATTTCTTTATATTTTTGTGCTGTACATAAGCAATCGTGTTCGTCTGCCAGAAAGTTTGTTTTGTTTTACTCGGGAAGTTGTGAGGATTGTTTATTATATTCGTACAATGAATTTCAGTATGTTATGTTGTGTTACGTGTAAGTGACAATTCATTTTATAACAGCTCCTATCGTCCTAGCATTCATTGATAGTAGGCCTATATTGTGACACATTGAGATACCTTGAACTTGAAACTATGTTTACATCTTTTTCGAATTCAAACGAAAATACAAAAGAAAGATGTACAATAATTGTATTCACATTTACAACAGTTTGTTTATTACACATAAAATAAAGTATGTTTTATCACAAAATCAGTTTATTTTCCTTGTTCCTTTGTTTTGGAGGGAGGGGGATGTATTCAGAGCAAATTCTAAGAAGCAAGATGGTGAACTTTTCATTAAAATGGGACAAATAAGTTGTTATCAAGTTTTGATAGTGATTAAAATGTACAAGATAATAGACATGACGAAATTAAAATAACATGTCCCTCTTGCTTTAATATTGTTATTATACATATCTTCCAGAGGGATCTAAGTCGAGTTCTATAATGAACTTTTCTCAAATTCAGTCTAATTTTGATGAAATTTTACTATCTTCATTTTGTGGATTTTGCTCTGTTTATTTATTTAATCCAATCTTAAACTACTTGGCTTTTCCTTGTCACGTTGTGATGCATGTGTTTGAATGATTGTACATATCCGATGTAGTATGATCTTGACGATGTTCTTATGAACGGACAACTGATGTTGGTGTGAATATGTTTTTGAGTTGGTGTTGGTAATGTCAGAAGGATGTTGGCATGAACTGGAAAGGGGAGGTACAACGTCGGCACATGGTGGGATACGGGTTGGCATAACGTTGCTTCTACGTCGGCAAATGGTGGAGAAGAGGTTGGCATAACGTTGGTCTAGCATTGGCACATGTTGGAGGAGGGGTCGGCACTTGGTGGGAAAAGGGTTGGCATTATGTTAGGACAACGTCGGGGAGACGTCGGCACATAGTGTAAAAGGGGTTGGCATTACGTTGGTCCTACGTCAGGGAGACGTCGGCACATGGTGGAAAAGGGGTTGGCATTACGTTTGTCCTATGTCGGCATATGGGTTGACATGACGTTGGTCATACGTCGGGGGGACGTTGGCCCGATGTTGGCTCAATGTCATTTCGTCGCTGTCGAGCCAACGTTGGCCCGCCGGCAAGAAAGCCGTTGGCCCAACATCACATTGGCGACGATGGCGCAACGTAACAGCCCACGACGTCGGCACATGGTGGGATAGGGGTTGGCATAACGTTGGTCCAATGTCGGAACTACGTCGGCACATGGTGGGATAGGGGTTGGAATAACGTTGGCCCTACGTCTTGGAGAAGTCGGCACATGGTTGAAAAGGGGTTGGTATAACGTTGGGCCAATGTCGAGGAGACGTCGGCACATGGTGGGATAAGGGTTGGCATAACGTTTATCCAATGTCGGAACAACGTCGGCACATGGTGGGATAGGGGTTGGCATAACGTTGGTCGTACGTCGGCACATGGTTAAAAAAGGGTTGGGACGACGTTGGTCCAATGTCGGAAAGACGTCGGCATACGGTGGGAAAGAGGTTGGCATAACGTTGGTTCAATGTCGGGAGGACATCGGCACATATGGTCGGATAGGGGTCGGCATAACGTTGGCCCGATGTTGGCTTAATGTCATTTTGTCACTGTCGGGCCAACGTTGGCCCGCCGGCAAGAAAGCCGTGGGCCCAACATCATGTTGGCGACGTTGGACCAACGTAACAGCTTACGTTGGCCCCACGTTGGCGTAACGTCGTATTGTTATCTGGGACCTTCAGCAGTTCCAATCAGGAGAACTAGGCTTCTGTACGCCGGATAGGCTCTACATATTCAACCTATCCATTACTCCAGTTGACCCGTGACGTTGAATATAATTTCTAAGTCATGCGGATTCCATTGGAGGTGTGTCGTAATAGGCTGAGATTGAATTTTTCTCATAATTACCTAACGGAACGAATGCAGTGGCAGGAATAAAGCACGCATATTTAATTCTTAAGTAATCTCTTTTGTCTTCAACAAAATTAACTAAGTGCATCGCAACACTTTAATATAATAATGTCACAGTCCTCTCTATGTATATGGCGTGGATCTAGATACTGCCACTATAGAATGGGGGGGGGGGGGTGATCACTTTTTCAAGATAGATTTAATACGAATACATAAGGCCATCTTCTTTTTCTTCGATTGCCCTCTCACCCGTAGCTATGCCAGTGGTTTTTTCTTTTATCATGTAGCTTTTTATTTGATTTTATTTTTTGCTCACTAAGCTACCATACCGGACGGACAATGCCCACCCCTGTATCTACAATTCAGTATTTTATATTTCTACTCTACACGATTGAAACAGAAAACAAAGTATCATATAAATTCATAACCGACTTTATGGCCGAATTGTCAAGATTATTTTGGATAACGTATACTAAATTCAAAGTACCATCATTGGGTCTAGATATAACGCCGTTCAATTTTAAAATAAACTTTTCATCAAGAAGTATGTTATTGCCTTGTGTTATCAATGTGGAAGAAATGGAATTGCGTTGATATGAAATTATTTGTAAGTGATATCAAAACATTGTAAAATCAAAATAGATGAGAGACTGAAAATTTAAAATTCATGTTTAAAAGTGGCTTTAGCATTGCTCTTTTTTAACAGATTTTTTAAATATATATTTAGTGGATACAATTCAACGAATCATGATTGTTCATTTTGTATTTCAAGATTATCTATGTCTTTCATAATATGTCTTAAGCCTTTGCCCTAGATCAATTCACATTTGTTGGTCATGGTTCTACACAGGATCTAGAATAGATCAATATAAATTGTATAGCTTTCGTGACTGCTTGCATTTTGAAAATTATTGATAGAATTTCACTTATATACCTATCATTTTTGTTTTTAATTCAACCGTCAATTTATGTCCTAGAGTGTTTACAATCTGAACAAACTTTCAAAGGAATGCATCTTTGCGGGATTAAAACTGTCTATTATACTTCCACAAAACAATGCAAGATACATCATTTGAGTACATACGTTTTATAAAATGTAACGGTACTTGAATATCAGTGTATGTTTTATTGTAAGTATGATATTACATTCGGGCGGTAAGAGGACATTTTTTATTTTATTTTATTTCATTTATTTATTCATTTTTTTTTTTCGGGGGGGGGGGGGGGGTCCCAAAAATTTGAAAATATGACCGATCAATATTTCGTTCCGTTTTTTTTTTTTTTTTTTTTTTTGGGGGGGGGGGGTAAGGTCAACTTGTTTTGGTCGCCCATTAGCACATTTTCTTTTCTTTTTTTTTATTAAAAACAAATAAGGGGCGTATGCGTCTGAAACAGAAACATAAAGTAAAACGTACATGGAGTTATACAAATGGTTATGACAATGTTTTAAGCTAGATAAAAATAGAAATAAACTAGTCGTCCTGCAGGTAATAAATCATTTCTACTATGTATATACAGATAAAACCTCTCACATTCACAAATCCCACCGCAGCAACATATCTACTGAACAATATTTTTGAATATGTTTTAAGTTTTTTTTTCAAGTTTGATTCGTGTATGCGAAGCCTTCAATTGAATTCCACTGTTTATATTGGTATGTTTTGTTTTTGAATCTGTTCATCTCTAATCTTGTTATTTTATTATATTGTCTCCGGAGACGAAACGCGTTATTAAAGCATAGTTTATCATAAATATTACTGTATTGCCAATTTGTATATATTTTTCCGCCATGTCATGACTTAATTAATATTTTTTTATTGTCAATTTGTATATATTCATTTTTTTAATATTGCTATGTCATGACTTTAACCAAAATAGTTAAACCTTATAGGATGTAATTTTCCTTCCTGTTGTCACTTATTCATGCAGTGTTATGTTATTGTTAGTTTTCCGGACTTGTTGATCTAAATGCTGGACTTCATCGCTAAGGTGATATAAAAAATTAAATTACCTGGACATTAGTTCAAAATAATACTTCCTGACCATCAATATTACTAATAAAATCAATTACAAAACATAGTCATCGTTCAATCATAATTTTGTTTCACAAAATTGACAAATTTGTTAAATGACCAGGATATTTAAAATCTAACACGCTGAACTCTCGTCATCTGTTTCACTCTCTTGATTTTAGGATTGAATTTATGCCAATATCATTTTTTACCATCGGAAAGCGGTAAATGTACCGATGATCAAAATGACAATATAAATATTACAGCTCCTTGTGTCATGTATTTACTCAGAAACGAGATGCCAAATAGAATTATGTAGAGCTGCACGTAGTAGTATACAAGCTGATTTGTTATTACACAAGTGAACGTAGCGACCAAGCAGACTAAAGATGGAAAGAAAATTTTACATTCAATTACAAATAACGAGCTTCTTCTATCAGAGCAGAATTTTGTTCATGTCACTGATATTGCTTGAAGTGTATATTCTTCTTTCTGTAGTAAGATTACGATTGTATATAATAATCTAAAACGTAGACAGTTTAAAGGTGAAATGATTATTGATTTACTGATTACTGACGGAATGGTGTGTGCGTTTCATTTTGTGTTACCATGTTTGTAAACTACTACGGTCATATATTTTATTAAAATTATCACATTTTCAATGTCATTTTTGAACTGAAAATTGGTAGCTGGAAGGTATTATGTTATATGTTAATTCGAATGGTGTTACCAACTTACCGGTGATGATGAGAGTGATACTGATGATAATGATA